GGTATATTTAAAGCATTGAGGGCTTGGTTTTTTTTTCTAGCCCCTTTGTGCCCATCGACTAATGAAATCATGATTAATTTAGGACAATTACAAGCTGAATATTTTAATGTTACATTGTCAAGATTATACTCATATAAAGAAAAACAAACTGGTAAATTAATTTATTAAAGAAGTAACATCTAAAAAAACAGTAACAATTAAGTAACATCTACAATAAAAACAACAAAAGAACTGTTTTGTTCTCTCTACTTTCACAAATATTTCCATCAAACAACAAACCACAGGCAAATGTCAATTTAATTTTCTTTTTATTTTTTTATGAGTACCAATGTAGGTACAACAAAATATTTCATATGTTATATTGTATTTATCCAAAAGCACCAGACATATAGTTATCCTGCTGGTTATGCAAAGACATTATGTCCATAACTGACTGTATACATGTTAAAAGATTCCTAACAATTCAGCAATTTGTTATAAATCGTTTAGTTTGCAAAGTAGAATGTGTGATACATAAACACAATACATCTTCAAAGCCATCAGAAGTCAATTATTCATACATCAACACTGAGAGAATAAAAGGTATAACTTTTCTAAATGAAAATGTATTTCCTATAGATACTTCCCTTCACTCACAATATTAGATTTTCTCACCTTGTGCTGTCCTCTGTATGCAAACTTTTACAGAAGCACATGCTCCAAGCCTTCATCACCCCCCTGTTCAAAGTTCCAGCACATCTATCATGCAAATCATCATGTGTCACCTCTCCACCAATAGGAGCGCACTACTATCACATGATGCATGGGACTCCCTCTACCAAACTATCACTTCAAAGTTTGTCAGAAGACGCGAGCACTGGAAGATTGTGGGGAGGACGGGTGGGAAGTGTGATCGGAGGGAAGTACCTATCAGAAATACATTTACATTTAGGAAAATATAACTTCCGATAAGGTACTCACCCTCCACTCACATGAAATGGAGGAGGGAGTGGTGCGAGGGAAGCACAGGCATATCCCCCGAAAGCATCCAGAGGACACCCCCGATATGGGAGGAACAGATCATATTATCTGAGGATTATCACATCTTAGCCAGGTATCTCTTCACCAGGAATATCAACATGATCAGGAAGACCAGACGTAGCCAACATTAACGGGAGCACATCCATGTGGGAGAGGATAGTTTAGCAATGTGATCTTAAACAGAAATTAGAATCACTCAACTGCACAATGAAAAGTGGGCAAATAACAATGTGTTCCATGTCTTAGATTGGTTAGGGCATGATGGACCATACTTGGTAAGTCAACTACATCAAAACCTCACTCGCTGGATACCGATATCCTCGTGAAAGTAAGATGAGGATCATACTCTATAACCTAACATTTGACTAGGAACTCACAGGGTAGCCTAATGCTAGGGATCTAGGAATGTGTCATCCAGAATCTGAGATAAGTCCATTGCTTGCACTAAACCCCCGCAACCGTGAAACCAGCCTGAAATGAACCCAGGTCAGTAACAACATTGCCACCCATTGAGGTAAATCCCAGAACAGAAGGGGAAACAGGTCATGTAGACCTCCTATGACCCATAACACAGAAGACAAGTTGAGAGGGGATATGGACAACTCAAAACCTGTGTGAGGACTTGTGATTGGTTCACTTGATCTCCAATACCTCACTCACTGGGTACCGACATCCACACAAGGGTAGGAGGAGGGCACCCAATCAGAGGGGTGAATTGCATTTGGGTGCCTCAACTCCGGGAATTAGTTATTCATCTGGAGTATCTTGTAACTCTTTCTACACCAGCAGAACACCACCACCTTACTCTGTACTGAACACTTATAGCCATCTTTATGGAAACCGTTCAGTAGGTAGCCTTCATGATCAACCATCCCAGCAGCTTGGAACTGGTAAAGACTCTAGTACTCCACTGGAAGAAAGGGGGGGGGAATGCAGTAGAGAGTCCAGAGAGGCTGCAACACTCAAGATAGTGCAATGGGTAATCATGAAACCCTATTTTGAAAAGCAGACCACACTGATTTATTCAACCTAGGCATGGCAGGGTAAAGCAGCAATCCCCTTCTGCTTTACTCATGACGTCCATGGGTGGTACAGTCCGGAATGGGCATATTATGATGCAATTATCATTAGGAATGTACACTTTAGTGATCTTGTGAAGCACCTCATCTCAAGGATAAGCATACATAGCCATGAAAAATGTATAAGAATCAACATGGCTTACAGTGTGGATTTGATATAAAGATGTCTGTGAATGGTTATAGCCATCTTAATGGAACCCATTCCAAGTACAGACAGAATACCTGGTCAGGCACTACTTACCATAGAACAGGGTCTAAAGTGAAGCTGAGGCAGAGGCCCCTGAAAAAAAAGAAAGCATTAGTATAGACGTACCTTGTGTCACAGCCATGCCAAAGTCTACAGAATAGCCATAGACAGCAGGCAATACCCCGAGGAAGCAGAAACAGTAATGTGATGTAGATAGTTGAAAATGAATTTGTGTAGACATGCCCAATCATAGAATCTCCTCCGATGGCCGATGAAGACAAGATGCAAGGTGACAGATTTGATGTGAGGAAACGTGAAAGAGATCACGAGAGATTAGGAGGAATAGCCCAACTGGATCAAACATTGAACCCAATTGGTAAGGGAAACCGGGGAAAGATCACTTGAAGAGGAAGGTTGCCAAGGGATAAAAAGGCAGGAATGTTGACCCTGGAAAGAAGCTGTGCAAGCAATATAACAATGGAAAGTATGGACAGGACAGAGGAGTCTATTCAGATCAGGACGAGGGTAGAGATGAGATATAGAGAATAGTCAGATAGGGGAAAAGGAAGACTGATGTTCTCAAGCTGCAGAGGTCTCAGAAAAGCATGATTCAATTAAAGAATAAGGTAGGAGAAGTGGTACAAGGTCCTGGTAATGTCAATATTCAAAATATCTGACCTACAACACCTGTAGGCCAGGAAGAAGAGGAAATATGCCTTTGAAGAGAGGTGAAACAGGGAACACATAGACTGAGTTTCGAACTGAGGTAAAGTGAGGGCATGAAGGACCACATTAATGTCCCAGTCCGGGAGCAATGGAAGCCTTGGTGGCCGACGGAGCTGGTAGGAACAGATCAACATGGAAAGGTCTTGCATTGATAGATAGCCAAAGAAGTAGGGCAATGGAATGGGTTAAATGTGAAGCTACTCTACTAGAGAAACCAGAACACCTCACCAGGGACTTGACAAAAGACAGGCGTGAAGACAGAGGACGGATGGAGCGCTGGTGACTGGATTTGACAGAAAGGAGGAAGAAGGTGAGGAATCACCTGCAGTTGGAGCAACTGAAGGAACCAAGGTAGAACAGGCTGGTAAGGAGCAATCAGAAGGACCATGTACAGAGTGGAATGGATGAGGGAGACCACCCTATGAAGTAAACAGATGGGAGGATAAATATAAAGTAACTGGGGACCAAACTGAGGAAATAAGTGATTGAGGGCAGTGGCAAAAGCATCAATATGGGGCATACCCAGATGCAGACAGAGCCATGAAAAACAGCAGGATGCAGGTATAAACACAATCTGGTCAGGAAAGATGATCGGCTATGAAATTGAAAGCATACGCCCAGTAAAGAACCTCCATAATGCAAAAACTCGGGGATCTGGACCTGGTGCTACGTTGCTGATTGATATAAGCCACCCCGGTATAATTTTCGGAATGGATCATAACCAGCCGGGAGGAGGAAGAAAATGATCAAAAGCCTGATGAACAGCCAGGAGTTTGAGAACATTAGTGTGAAGATAACTCTCCTCCACAGACCAACAACCCAAAACATCCTGGTGATCCACCCAACCCTGAAGGGATGCATCCATGAACAGATGTAATACTAACAATGGAGGAGGAAGAGGGATCTCTGCCAACATGTGGGCCCTGTTCAACCACCAATGGAGATAATCTGCAAGGGATGAGGGAAGAAGTATAGAAATATCCAAGGGATCCTGGGTGAGGTTCCATTAATTGTGACGGGCCCATTGAAGAAACCGCATATGGGCCCTGCCCAGGAGTATGAGAGGGTCATGGAGGGCCACATCCCTAAAAGCGATAGAACCTTGCGAGCTGTAAGAGAGGAAACATACAGAGATTTCCGACCAGCCTGTTCCATAGAAGAGGAAAAGGTTGAGCCTGACTGACATGAGTGTTGTAAAAAACACCCAAATGGATAAGATATTGGGTAGGACAAAGGAAAGACTTCTTGAATTTGACCAACCAGTCCACCCTTGCAGCTTTGGCCAGGAGCTGATGAGTGTGACAGGCCAATTCCCATTTAGAACGAGCAATAAGAAGAAAGTCATCCATATAAATTGGAAACATCCAGCTTCGTCATTCAAAGACCTGGAGAAAAGTCCCACCAAAGAGAAAGGTATGTCTACATGATAAAGCAAGGAATGTGAACAAACTGATTGAGACAAGAGGCTAGTACCTGGTCTTCTGGGGAACAACAAATAGGCAGGAGTAAAAACCCTCTGAAGCTGGTGGAGCTGGTTCAATAGCTTGTTGTGCAATGAGGTTCTGAACTGCCTCTGACATATGCTGTTGTGTCGAGGAATCCTGAGGAGAAGAGAATGTAACACTGAATAAGGGAGGACGGGAGAGAAAGAGGATAATGTTTCCCTCTAAGAGCACTCTGTGAATCCAAACATTGGTGAGGCAAGGAAGGACTCCACTGATAAACGAAATTCAAGAGATGAGTCTCCACTGGGATCCAAACCAACCATGTAGTCACTGGTACTGCTGTTGGCAACTTGGGTGTCATCGAGTAAATTGTCAAACCGTGGCACCACAGGAGGATGGGACAGGAAGAGGTTGGGAAGGGGAAGGTCGAGGGACAGGAACTGGTGCTGCACTTGGCCCAGAATGTGACAAACGAGCTACCAAGTTAGTAAAGGTAGAATGTTGATGGGCCGAGGCTACCCAAGATTCCAAAAACTCAGGGACCAAGTCAAACACATAATGTTGCAAAAATTCCACTATCTCTCAGATAAGGAGCCTGGAGACAGGTCCGTGCCAAAACCGCATTATGGCCCAAGAGGTCCCAACAACAAACCAACCATGTTTGAAGCAGGAGAGCTGGAGACGGCAAACAGGACAAAGTAGAAGTAAGGATGGAAAGGATTTCAGCAGAAATTTCCTGTGAAGAGCCTCTGACAGAAGGTGAATGGAAGAAAGGTAAATTAATAGGGTTATGAGGGTGAAAGTGAGAAAACTGAACTTGGTTATGTTGGACAGGGTAATCTTGGTTCACCCCCCAAACAGGAAGAACCAACCCCAACAACAGTTAGTTGAGAAAGGAAAAGTCCGCCCGATGATAAGCAAGGGCGGACTGATCCAAAGTCCATTGAGAACGAGGCATAATAAATGCCCTCCCCCAGTTGAGAGGCAAATCGTTCCACATGAGCTAAATATCAGGGGATGGGGGAAATACTAAATAGGGTAGAGAAGTTGTTTGATGTAAGAGAGAAGGTCTAGGGTCATAGGAAACAAGTGTAAGAGACAAAACTTCACATACCAGAGAGATAAGTCTGAAAAGACTGATGATGGATGAGCTGAATCATCAGGTGGTGAATGGGAAGACGCAGCAAACTCTAGTGTGTGTGGGGGGAACTAAAGGAAAAAATCGTCTTCATCCTGGCCCGGATCTAAAAGGCTCTGGTGGAATAAGTGACGATATATCTCCCGAGGGGTCGCCTGCGTCTGAAAATACGCCATCAGATCCTGGCAAAATACTGGAAGTGGTGACTGTAACTTTGGAATTCATAAACGGGAAACACGAGGAAATAATGCTATATTAAAATATTAACTCCACAAATAAGAAGTGACAGTTTGGTAGTGGCACATAGAGGGAGTCACATGCATCATGTGATAGTGGAGAGGTGATGCATGATGATTTGAATAAGAGATGTGTTCCAACAGAGTGATGATGAAGGCTTGTGGCATGCATTTCTGAAAAAGTTTGCATACAAAGGGCAGCACAAAGGAGAAAAGCTAATCTTGTGAGAGGATGGAAGAGTACCTTATCGGAAATTCATTTCTAACTCAGTTATTCTTATATAAAGTATCTATATGTATATTAAGTCTTCTATATCTGCAACAAGGAATAAATCTACAAATGTCATCAATTCAAGTGTAATAAATGTCAAATGTTATTCTTTTATAAATATTACTCAATTTCAAACAAACAAGAGCAAATTATCCATAACTGTTTTAAAGATAAAGAGTTCAAGTGTTAATATAAAGAGTACTGAGGCAGCACCACCTAGAATACTGTCATTAGTTGAAAAGAGATTCTATTTTAATTCCAACAAAACTATTTAAGATAAACGTTCTCACACATGTAAGTAAAAATTTCTTCTGGTGTGTAGACAAAGACTAATTCTGGCTAAGATATCAACCTACGTATGGCAGTTTTAGATGAAATTATAACTAGGTTTTCCTCTAAATTGAATACTTGTATAGGTTGAATTTTCTTTTGACAGTGAAATGATGATCATGTTACTTCAAGTTGTTTTCTCAGCTACTGAATGTATGGCTGGAGCCATTGCTGCTGTTGAAGAACCAGCAAGTAGATTACTTCTTACTACGGAGCTTAGAAAATACAGATCAGAACTGATACCATTTCTTATCCCTGTATTTTAACATCAACTTGTGGGCTGTGTTAGAGAAGTACTCAGCTTCAGACATCATCTTGGCAGTTTTATCTTCTAGCTGATTTAAAGCTTCTCCTCTCTCTGTCAAGCCCTGCAGAAAAAATAACGAAATTGTAACCATGTCTTTCAAAGTATAATTAGTACAATTACAAAACTGTAGAGTGATTGGTTTAGTGAAACCCAAGCCTAGATAATGATACATATTATTCATTATTTTTCTACAAATCTGACACATTCTAGGATCTTAGAAAGCTCAGCCTAATGATAAGTTAAATGTAATTCTCCAACCTCCTTCCAAATTGTACAGCTACAGTATTTAACATTCAATTTCTTAATTGTTTCAAAAACCTTAAGTATTAATTCTAAAACATAAATATACATTTCTTTTAAAATCTTAACAGGTACTAAGTACATTTGTAATAACTACAACCCATTAAAACTTTTCATACACATCATGCTCTGCCAGAGTATAACAACTTCAATTCATATAGCTATTTTAAATTCTTCTCTAATTCATAATTCCGAATTTATTAGTTTTAGATTATATCTATACTGGTTCCTATGAATCTTTATGTTAAAATTCAATGTTATTGGGAAACAAACTTTGATAATTACATCACAACATAGTGTTAATTACTCATAAGTATGAAAATTATTGATGATATAAACTATACATCTGGATTTTTTCTTAATGATAGTTAATAAAACATTTATATATTTTCAGTGTTATATATCCTATTTCTCAACACTATACTGTTAACAGCTTTATCTTAGATCATTTCCTGGTAAAATTTTGTTTCCTTTAGGAAAAGTCATTCTCAAGACTAATTTAAACGGGGTTTTCTTTACAATCACATTATACACAAAAGAAAATTACAATAATTAAATAAAATAACAAAACAATAAAACAAAAATCCATGTTTTTACTTACAAAATTATTTATTTGTAAATATTAAAAATATATATCTTCAAAAAAACTTAAAACTGTACATGTTTTGGTGGAAATAATTCCACCATCTTCAGGAGAATCCATCAAGTACACATAACATTGCTTATAAACCTAAGATACGTGTATAATTAGCATACTTGTACAATGGTGCCATTTACAATAAAAAATCTTTAAAAATTTATTTCAGTTTGGTGGCTCCTGGGCCTAAATCTCTATTTAAATTCATTTTGTTTTCCAAATTTCTAAAGTTTCTCTTATATTTAATTCACCTTTTTCCGTTAACTGTTTAAGAATTTTTACAATATCCCAATCAATAATATGTTTAAAATTCGCCACATGTTCCATCAAAGCCGATTCACCCGTTTTTAATTTATCCACAGCATTTTGGGATTCTTTTACTCTAAATGTTTGGTTCCTACTAGTCTGTCCAATATAACTTAGACCACAAGTACATGAAATTTTGTATATATCATATTTGTCCCTCAATTCAGTTTTGTCTTTCAAACCATTAATTATATGACTTAATTTTAATTGAGGAGTAAATGTTACTTGGCAATTCAAGTTTTGCCTAAACACATTACCTATTTTTATTGACCATGGTAAAACATGAGGCAAACATATTCTTTCTCTATTTTCTTTTTTTGTTATTTCCAATTTCATACTTCCAGAAATTTGAAGTTTGTTTTAATATTTACTAACGACCAGAGACGTAACAATATTTACTGTACATCCTATCTATGATTTGAGGTTGATACCATCTATCAATACTACCTGTTTTAAATACATTATTTCTAACATCAAATTCTCATCATATGACGAAATATTGATAACCCTATAAACAAAAGATGAAAATGAGGACACTTTTTGTGACCATGGATGACTCAATCTCACATGTGGTAGCATGGTAACTGAGAATGGTTTCATGTATGCAGAAATCCCTTCTCTCTCTTTTAAAAGGAACATCTAAAAAATCTAAACAACCATCATCTTTTATTGCAAGAACAATTACTCAACCACTCATTAAAAAAAAAACAGCAAACAAAATTCAGCATATTTTTATTTTCAACACAAATTTCTGGAAACAGAAGTTTATTATGGATCGAAACAAAGTTGATTACTGAATATATGGAAAAACTCAGTATCTAACACAAACAAATTATTAATCATTGAATCTAAATAAAGCCATAATATTACTACATCTAAACTTTAATTTGATAGCTTTAAGTAGGACATAATAATTGATACCAACAATGTTAGTTAATTGACACAAGCCCAAATTCTCAGGTAACAACCACAAACATTTTTTAGATGCAACATGGTACACATTGTAAAATACTGACCAATCTGGCACGTGCCAGTTCTCCAGCCAGTGAACCTGTTTGTGCTTTCACATGTTCTAAGCTACTATTTCCTGGAATGTGATGTGCCACACTTCTTGAAGCATTGCCACTCTTCTCTCCAACTAATTCAATGAGAAATATGTTAACATAACATTAACATATACATATAAAATTACAAGAATATTGTTCAGGTACATGGTATTTGTGGATAGGTAGTTGTTTACATTTCACTTTTCCCAAAGCTTAAAACTTTGTTATTCTATATGTTAGCATAATTATTTGTACATAGTTGTTGGATGAAAGACCTTGTCCATTGGATATAGCAAACATATTATGCACTCTTATTTACTTTTACACAGATTCTTATTAACAATTTTCATTTAAAGGAATTCACTCAGGTAATGATGAATCATAGTCCTACTAAAACATGACCTACACAGCTCCAATAATTCTTTATTTTTCAAAAGATATCAAAGAAACACTACATTTGAAAGTTTGTTGTGAATTTTTAGTTTGTGTTTTGAAACTAGTTATTTGAATTTATGTTTTACAGTAAGTTCATTATCACCTTTCAGTTTAGTATTTCTTTGCATATACTCCTAGTTGAAGTTTTACATAGTTTGCTACCTATGTTCAAAACACTGAAAGGCAATTTAAAAATATTTTTTAATGTAAAGTAAATAAACCTAACACACAAAAAATCAAACTGAATTCAATCCTGTTTATTTACTTTTCAGTGAACTTTCAAGTTATTTGCTACAATTCCTGGAATTCTTGCTCAGTTTAAAACATTTACTTTGTAACATTTTGAAATACATGTGTAAGACAGTTATCAAAAGAATAAAAATACATTTTAAACACTTCTTCTCAAATACAAGCTAGATAACTTCAATAATAATTGCTTGTTTGAAGTTGAGCACAAAGCTATACACTGGGCTCTGTGCTCTGCCAACCACAGGTATCAAAACCCAGATTTAGCGTTGTAAGTCCGCAGACATACTGCTGTGCCACTGGGGGGCTCAATAATAACAAATAAAGAACAGAAAAGGTCAATGTTCAAAACTTTATAAGACTCTATTAGATTCTATTAAAAAACATACATACTTGTAACAGATTCTATTAAAAGACTTGTGTACTTGTAACAGATTCTATTAAAAGACTTGTGTACTTGTATCAGATTCTATTAAAAGACTTGTGTACTTGTATCAGATTCTATTAAAAGACTTGTGTACTTGTATCAGATTCTATTAAAAGACTTGTGTACTTGTATCAGATTCTATTCTATGCTTCATTTTCATTTATACTTTGTTCACATCTTTCACCAGTGATTAACCCAGGTGACTACATTTTTTAATAGTGATGTCAATTGTATCAAATTACCCTAAATCTGCTCTTTGTCCTGCCATCATTTTAAACCAATGTAATCAGAGAATTCCAGTAACTGAACAGAGTTCATCAAGGGTATTTTTATAAATATACACCTGGAAAAAAGTTAAGCACCCCCAAATATTTTTCAGGATTGCTTATTGAAAATAAGGTTTAATTTTCATGATGTTGAGCAATGTTCATAATTTCAAACATAATTAAAAGGATGTGAGCGTTCAGGTGTGACATTTAAATCAGGCGCGTTTTTTTCCCCACGTGTAACTTACTCCCTTCTTCACGTCCAATATGCACTATTTTCTCGTGCATCAAATCCGTATT